TGGGTGGACAGGACACAAAAAATGCAGCCTCATACGCTGTCTCCTGCAGAGAGTAAGGCACATCTGTTCAGACGATACTTGAAGGACGAACTTGAACTAGTGAGGAGAAACTTACTGGAAACTGGCTACCCTGAAAAGTTCATCAACCGTTATTAGACTGAACAGAATAAGCCAACAAAAATGCCAACAGCGGAGAATAAAATACTTTTTATAAGACTTCTGTTCAAAGGCAATGATCTATTCTGATTGAAAATATCTGTGCTGCTCTTTCTTATCGACGCGTACTTGAAGTTTGCTGACAATTCTCTATCATTTACAACCCCTCCCCACCCACCCACCCACCCCCCCNCCTCAGATTTCTGCCTACAGAAACTTCTTTGTACCCTAACTTTCCCAGACACTTACCGACAAGGAGAGTGTTCGTTCTGAGCTTTCTAATGCATTCAGTAGTCAATTCGCACTTGTACACCCCCCCTCCGTTGGCTGAAAGCTTGTTTATAACTCGCTAAAGCTTCAATACAATACAATACAATACCATACAATACAACACAATGCAAAACAATACAATATACAACTCTCAGTTCTTCCAGTTAGCCAAACACTCGGAAGCACCAGGCTCGAGTTTCGCTCTTGTACGAGCTCATCATCAGTAGTGCATATCCACCGTCCCATCGTCCGGAAGATTTAGCAGTACATTCTTAACCTGCATTCAGATGTTAGTTATGATCAAGAAAAATCTCGAGTTCGACCACAGCAATCAGGGAATTTTGTGTCCCTATCATCAATCGATGCCTCGGTCAGAGTATTCGGCTGCCTACCAATTTAGACCCCATTTATCTATTTATACGGGTGCAAATTTGCTTAGCTTGTTCAGACTACACATTTTGGACAACCAATTGATCCAACTAGGCGTTATTGTAGCGTGAAAGCAGAAGACGTTTCGGGCAGTATAATTCAATTGGTAACACACTACAAGGTAACAATATAAAAATAATGAACAAACGGAGATTTACAGTTCGCTTGAGTTACGAGTTCACGGAGTTCTCCTTATCCGTAATAATATTAACAGCAGAACGGTTCGAAATAGAGATAACGTATTGTGTCATGCAAAACGAAACTGAACTCAGTTTCAAGACCCGTTACTCGGTGTATCCGAGGACAATGAAAGGACAGACAACGAAACGAGGTATGCTTGTGTCCGAATCGGACAAAACTAGGAGACGTGATCATTATCTATTATTCGTGCTTTTCCAGAAAATTTGCTTTCGAATTGACTCAGGAGACAGAACTTCCCGAAAACGCCAATCGTTTACCCTTTCGTGTTCTGTCGTGAACTGCACAGTGGGACGAGTGGGAGTGAAATATCACGTGATGTTTTTCACGCTACTTTTCCGTTGTGACTCAGACGAGAGAAGATACTGAACAATCACACACTCGGTGGATCGTTGATTGAATTTAGCACTTAGCCAGACGTGTCTGTGGATAGACCTGGCTGACTAGTTGGATCGATACAATGGTGAGCGGAGGAGAGCTGGAAACCCGAAAATCACTCAAAATCAATCATTCCAACGAGTTCTGTGAACGAGTGTGTGATAGACCGACCGAGACCAGTCGAGCGAATCGTGGTCAAATCACCGCGGTGCATGCACGAACGCACTAACTCATTCTATAGTTGTGAGATTGCCAGAGTCGGATAGTCACCGACCCCCATCTGATTCGCTTGTGTACGTGTGCGCATTCGGGGAATGCGTACGAAAATCGACAGCTGGTCGTGGAAATGCATCGTTTTCTGATGATGGCGAGGAAAATTTGGGCATTCCGGGAAAGCTTGACATCGAATGATTTCATTGGGTGTGACAGTCACTTTCAATTAGGATTTCTCTCCTCTCGTGTTGGTTGGAGGAATGGGACTGATGACAGGGCGGTAGTGCTCCACTATCCATGACCCATCACTGATAGAGCACTGTGTGGGATAACCGCTCAACTTTTCACGGCACATGTGAACGTAACGATAAGTGACAATGGCAGCCACACGAGCAACCTTGGTTAGCTTCGATGGTCAAGGGGCTGGGTAAANGTGACAGTCACTTTCAATTAGGATTTCTCTCCTCTCGTGTTGGTTGGAGGAATGGGGCTGATGACAGGGCGGTAGTGCTCCACTATCCATGACTCATCACTGATAGAGCACTGTGTGGGATAACCGCTCAACTTTTCACGGCGCATGTGAACGTAACGATAAGTGACAATGACAGCCACACGAGCAACCTTGGTTAGCTTCGATGGTCAAGGGGCTGGGTAAATTGTTTGGTGCGTGTTTGTGTATAGATGTAGCGACAGCTGACTGCCTGCTCGATCGGTGACGCAATACCGATCAGGTGATTCGCTGAGACGAAAACACTTTTACCAGACAAAAATTTGTCAAACTGTAATGGGTAATCATAACTCACAAACACGTCCACCCTGTTTGTGGTGAGGAAAGTAGGCCGCTTAGTGACTGGCCTATCGGTGCACGTGAAGAAACACAAGCCTTTATAAAATGGACTTCACGAACGTTGGCTTTGGTTGAACGCATCAGGTCTGAGTTTTGAGGGAAACATGCGAACAATTCAATCGTGTTAGCCCTGAAAAAGGTGAGCAGCAGATCAGTTCAACTGTGAATCAGTGCAAACCGGATAGACCAAGAGTAGAAAGGATCGTGAGTTGTGTTCATCCATTGGACACAGTTTCGTCGGGTAAAAGTGTATTTGAACCGCAGCTCTGTGTATTCGTCTACGTGAATCACCTGGTAGTACGTAGTACGAAGCTATAAATGTGGTCTGGGGTCTGAGAGACTCGATATCAAATGCATTCCGCGCTTTCCGAATGTGTTGTCCTCATTTTAACGTCCGAACAACATTAGTACCACGACAATTGATTGTCTACGGAGTAAACCATTTCACGGCCCCAATTGTGACGTGTCTACTCATACGACATCGCATACCTAACAGTTTCGCCGAATGGGTAACTGTAGTTTACGAAATAACGCACGTCGAGGTCGCATCTCGATCAAAATATTCCCTTCCTAGTCAACCTTTTCCATGACACAACACAGAACAATTGCTTATCAGTTATTGTCGGAATCTTGGTGTCAGAACACATGTGACGGTGGACTGTTTTAGTTCGAGCATATACTTCATGTTTTATTCGGGCGATCGGAGCTAATCAGGACTGAGTTATTTACAGACTCAGATAGCACTTGGTTATGGCGCGGACAGGTACACACGTGTCCGTGTCTGCCAAAACACTCACTCAGGTGATAATTCTCACAGCAATCGTCGCTAATCTCATATTAAATAAACACGCATTGGTGAGATAGATAGATAGTTCACCAAGACAAACGAAAATAGTAATCTCGCGCACGCGCGTGCACGCCAGTCCCGTGATGCTGGTGTGAATGGTTCTGGTGAAGACTTATCATCGTGCGCCGATTTTGGTTGCTGTCTTTTGTTGGCTCATTTAAATGAAAGAGCAGGATGATGATTAGAATGTTGAGGGCAAATATAAGCGGACGATAGAGAATTTATATAGATTGATGCTAGAAGAGCGCCACTGTTTGCGACGTCCAGCCCTATCGCTCAGTTTCTCTAACCATCGGTGATCATGATCTCGGGATCCCCAACTAGGTAGCCTAACGGGACCTATGTGATCGAGTCTGTTGGGTACAGTAAACGGTTTAAAACCATCAAGTGTTTGACACCCGTGCATAAATGGTACGATAGCCGGTATCCAAACTCACATGAATACTCGGACGTCGTAACACATCTGCGATGCCTCCATCGGTTCGTATACCCTCGTGTAATGTGGTCAGCATACACATTATCAGAGAATCACAATGTCGTTCCACTTTCGACTCGGAATCCATGGAATCGCTGACACATGAGGATTGTGCGGATCCTGAACGGGAGAGAGAAACAAGAGAGAAAGAGAGGGTGAAACCAAGAAAAACATGAAGTTTGTTCGTTCTATTTCGGTGACGATCGAAACAAAGAGCTCTACTTAGGGGCCATCCGCGGTGACTGGCTATTGAAACCCACATTCAAGATCATCGACAGCATCTGATGCCTACGAAAACCCAAATGGGCTAGTTGAAACACTTAATGTCCAAATTTTTCATTCTACTTGGTACCTTTATATATGGTTGACTTAACGCAATGAGTAGTATCGGAGGGTGAGAATGCATGAATCCCATGAATCCCAGATGACGTGCCGGTACGATTGCACAAAACGGTGTCCACACCCCCTCCCCTTCCTCCCTACTAGAATGTTGAACGAGACACATCCGTTTGATCGGAGGTTTGTGAGCGGCTTTCTGAATGTGGAAAAATCCGATCCAATTCGTCTCTCCGACTGTCAAGCGGACTCACCTTGAAGTATTGAAGATACTGTGGTACAAGCGGTATCATTCGCTGACGGTGTGAATGTCTGAATTTCTAACAGGAAATCGTCTCTGAAGAACACGAATCCGAGAATGGCATAGATGTACACCATGATGAGTGCCAACAGCGCGGTCCACAGAATCGATCGACCGTTTTTGGTAACCGAGCGGATCACATTGAGCAAGGTCTCCTCGCGACGGATCACATCCAGCAGCTGTCGGGCAGAAACGATGCGAACAGGCGGATGATAACCGAGTAACAGACTGCTCCATAACAATGTAATATTTGTGAAATATTATCTAAAATCGCAATTGTAGTATAGTAAGTTTTAATGTGAAATAGATAATGGAAAATTTGAGTTCCACTGTATCACTAAATTCATCAAGCTTATGTGTTTTTTTTGTTGTGGCTGGCACTGACCACATCCCCGACTGATGAGTTTACACTGGAACGTATGGGCTATCCGGTAAGAGTAGCGCCTTGGACTCGGAGAGCTGTTGGCTCCTTTGGGGCATCCTCCGTTATTTGGTCTCCACCAGGGGATCAGCTCTCACCTGTGGCTCCAAGACGTTGTCTGGATGCAACAGCGGCCGAACCCCGGCAAATCGCCTGACAGGCGGGCCAAACCAAGTTGACGGTAACTGGTTTCTAACGAACGAACACAGTACTAGCGGGATAGGCGAACGAAGCCGCTCACACGATCCAATCAGTCAAGTCGATGACTCCTTGTTCACCAGGGATGCATGAACCCCTGTTCAACTAGAAACTGTCAATGACGTATGAGCCCCCCTTCCCTTCCAGAGGGCCACCCGAAACTATGCTCTACCTTCCTACTGCCTTGCTAGGATGCGCAGAGGCTAGAGATGCTACCTTGACCTAAAGTCGGGTGACATTTTAGACATTTTGTGTATCTCACTCCCGAGAAATTTTATGAAATATCTATGAAGCCGGATTTTACTCCCCTAGGAGCCAGCCGCCGAAGAGTAAGTTAGTGAGTTTCCAAATAATGGCTTGTAGTTTTTTCCGCACCGTTTTCAGAATACGTTCAGAATACCGGGAAAACAATTTTCTGGGTTAGGCAACTGATTATCGACTGTGATCCAGTGATCCTTGGATTAGAAAACGAAATTCAATCTGATTATGCCTATTTCACTATGATTATTGAAGCGTTCACTTTGTAGTCTCTCTAGCGCAGGTCCTGTCTACTCGAATCCGTGTTGCACTGAATTGTAAGATGAAAACTCGACATTCTAATAGAAAAAGCCCTATCCTCAGCTTTTGTAATTGCCCTCCAATGAAAAGCGAACAAACATGAGTAGTTCGTGAGGGGTTTGGCAATTTAAACGGCATATCAACAGCGTTTTCGATTTGTTTGAGACAGAAGACACTGTGCGACCGGAAAACACAACACCTTGTTCCCGTACCCCAATCAGTATGCGCAAACACACACATATACGACAGAAGCGAACTGCCTACACGTAGCTGATCGTTTATTAGCATATCGATTATGAGCGTGGATAACCGCAAATTGTAATCAATTCGGTTTCACACACATACAAAAAAAAGATTGGAGTGAACTGTGGGATATGGACATCGTTTTACGTGGGGTCTTTGCACCAACAAAATGGCAAACGTTTAATGGGTTTTGTAGCTTCGGAAACAGCCCCCTCGGGAGGGTTGTGTTGTTGTGCCCAGCACAAGGATAAAATTATCATCAATTGGTTTTTCGGTTAGTTAGTTAGTTAGTTATATCCACGTCACCGATTCATTGATCTTTTCGGTCCCCGCCACTCGACTGTTGTCTATGTGCACTGATTTCAAGTCAAGCGTGCGATTTAAATTGTCGAATCCACACACACACACACACTTAATTCATATGCCGATCGTTCGTGAAGAACGTCCCATCGCCCATGGGGCTTGTCTGGATGACTACGTTCACGCTCTTGTCACCTCTGTAGCAAATGCGTGCATTTGTTCGATTCAGCCAAGTAACTATATTTATTTTGGCCAAAAGCGATGACTACGGAACACTTATCGCGGGCGTGAGAATAATGAGCGATTACTCGCATTTAACTCACAGTTACTTGTGAGTTGTGGTGTGGAATAATTGCTAATTTGAATTGACTATTCTTCGAACTTTATCTTCATGCACAATCCCCAGGTCGTCGATTCAGCCATGCTTTCGGAAGCATCAGACTCCAGTTTAGCTCTTATTAGAGCTCATCAGTATAGCATATCCACCACCGTCCCACCGTCCGGGGTTTGAACTCCGGAGTTAGCAGGCTGTTATCTGTGTCTCTATTCGTTACTGTTGGGGCCAAATGAACTGACTGACTATCTCTGAAGACTACACCTGAACAAACATGAATTGGCAATTTGGTTCAACCATGGTATGAGCTGGTTGGCACAGTGGTAACGCACACGCCTTCCATGCGATAGGCCCGGAGTTCAAATCCCGGATGGTGGGAGGGTCGATATGCACTACTGATGAGCTCTAATAAGAGTGAAGCTCGAGTCTAATGCTTCCGAGCATATGGGTGAATCAATGAACTGAGGACTGTGCGTAAAGGTGAAATCCACAGGATAGTCAGTTCAAATCAATCGATAAGAATTCACCTGGAAGGAAGATTATGATACAAGTAAGTGAAACGCGTCACTCAGCCCTAATCCAAAATAGTCTACACCTTTTTCAGTTTAAAATATCTGAATATCAATTTAAGATGTCCGAAGGAAGCCAGTTGGTAAAATACCGGTTTGTTCGCAAGCCGGTGTTAAATACATCTGTTAGTCCGTACTTAAAACAAGTATACAGCTTTATTACAATTATCCGTTGACCGAACCCACCTAGAAAAATAGTGCGTGTATTTTAGACGAGTCAAGCCTTTGGCCCAGTGTCAATATCGCTCGAGCATTTTCCATTCTGAATTTCCCACTTGGCGCATTGTTCCACAACTGATTCTCTTGCAGTGATTCTCTACCAACACTTCAGCAGCATCGGATTCAAGTGAAGGACCGAAAATCTCACGATTGATCGGACTTATTTATCGATCGGTCGGCTACTGCAACCGCAACAAGCGACCTGGTGCTTGCCTAGCTAACCCGAGCGAGAACCCACATGTTGTCTACAAACGTGAGTCTTGAGCAGGTCCAGCAGACTTTAACTGTGCAGTAGGAGAGTCATTAACACAAGGATTAACTGAACGTGTCACACAACAAGAGTATCACAAAAAAGTACAAGACAATGTGAAACGATGGAGCAATCGGATTATTAGACTATACACATAGCAATATGACATTTTAAATTGATATTCCGACATCTAAAATTGAAAAAAAGATGTAGTTATACGTTAACCACTATCCACTGGTTCATATTTCATGAAGATAGTGACCGTTAATGATTCTGACAGATCACCTTTTCCAGCAAGTGCAACTTGGTCGTTTGACATAGATGTGACAATGTCAAGTAGATGGTATTTATGCCCCCTGCCCGGGCTTACTAATAACGACTTCCGTCTATCTGTCCGTCTGTCTGTCTGTCTGTCTGTCTGTCTGTCTGCTTGTCTGTCTGCTCGTGGATTTTATTGTACACCTGGCCATCTAAGCATGGTAGGGTTGTAGATTATCTTAGATCAATCATAGTAACCAGAACAAACCGCTTACGTTTCAGGTGACACTGAATCAGTTACAATACAGTACAGTACAGATTTCGGTCAGCACCCACGTTAGATAGACGATAGACGTGAACTTACCACCAAACTATGATAAAATGGATGCAAGAACAGGCCGAGAGCGGTCAACACAGTCAAGATCGCGTGCACTAATAGGTCATATAAAACGCCCTTTGGAACACGAGGAATTCGAACCCGACAACGGGAGCCCAAACGAGCACACCATCCATACAAACCAGTTCGGGCTCTGTGATTTTCCGCCTCGTGCCTGAACATTCCATCGCCGACACTACCCGTCCCGTTCAGAATGGAGTCACGTGACACACCTCGGTTCAGCACATGTCGTGTCCAGTGATCACGATATTGTCTCACAATCCGATATTGTCCGCACAATCCGGCAAAATGGATCAGGCGTACGGAAAGCTGATATGCAACGAGAGGGTGGGGTGGGGTTGGGGGTACATGGTCATTGTGAATGACAGGGCATGGAATCCGGTCAAGGTGGTGTGATGAACTGAAAACAAAAGCGCTACACTGACCGAGCCTTTGATTCAGTCGAACGAAATCACGAACAAATCACTGCTATGATGTATTTCCGGATGCGTGGAACCAAACAAACACCAAAAACAGGGGCTGAAATAACAAGGCCTTTATTGCTGGACTCGTTTGATCTGGTGTACACTGCCATCAAGCCCATATAAAAGGTCACAGGGCTATGTATGAGTGTTGTCCTTCAGTGAGGTAGCACCATTTGCCCATGTTCAAATCAACGGAGTGTCTCAGGAGCGATGTGTGTATCATCATCGGCTTGCGAACAAGCACACTGCCAACGCAACAACAAGAACAACAGAGAACGAACGGGGTTTGGAATACAAAACAATGAGATGCGGGGCAAACAGTTATGGTGGATAGCAAGAATAACAATTTTGTGTTTGTTTCACCGCACAGATTGTGATATTTTTTGTGTTAGTTCATTGTTTTTCCTAATCCTGCGGCACAGGATTACCACAGGCAGATCCTACAACATTCACGCCACTAATTTGTATTCTGAGCCATATCTATCAGAATTTCTAACCATCGGTAGTGTTCATCTCTTGAGCCCCAGCCCGGGAGGCGAGCTGCATCAATCGCAGACATAGTTGAAGTTAGCCTCCTCATATCTCTACTGTTTGTTGAGAAATGGAATACCTGAGAAGTATGTATGTCCCGATCCTCAAAGTGTTGTATAGGCACACTTCGGGTTGGGCCTATGATCAAGTTTCGCCACCCTTTTCAGTCTCCAATGGAGTGCAATAAGGCTAGGCAAAACTCTCATTCCTCTTCAACTTTATCATTGAGGATGTTCTACAAAATGTTTTTTCCGGTATGGGAAACGATGGAGTGGTAGTGATCCAGACCTGCGTAACAGAAGTCCAAGTACAACCAGGTACAGCCTCATGTCATCCAATCAAAGTTCACGAAGCTAGACCAATCCATGGTACAACGGGCGAACAGTATATCAGAGTTAGTACATGCGATGCGTCGGCACAAACAGTTACGTGATTGGACGATGGTTCTTCAATCGGTGACATGGCCTATTGCTTTCTATAGAATATGCTCTATTTCTGTCGATAAACACTAGCACTTGACGCTACCGATTCTCCGTGTATTTCATTAGTGTCCGCAGTTTGGGGTTGGAGCCAATCCGGTTCTGTGTATTACAGCACGGGTTCTCGTATTCCAATATTCAATACTATTCCGATTATTACAAGAACCCTTTCCAGGGATGAACTAGATTCAAATTGGGTAGTGGTGGCCAAGTGGTCAGGTCACCAACTTGTAATCTGGGAGTCCCGGGTCCGGACCGCTCCGCCACTGCCCGTCTTCCCTATTTACTGTATCAGCCAGGCAGCCATCGTATGGTCGTGACCGCCTGTCTGAATGTTGACTGCACATTTGTAGATTCCAGAAGTAAAAAGGAAGTAAAAGGACAACCGTGAAAGAACAACGACCGTAATTATTAATATCAAATTCCAGCCGTAAATTCAAAGTAAAATGCGGATGCAGATAGTGCGCCTTGTGAACACTGCGAAGATGAATCTACTCAAACGCTCACGCGATCGGGACAATCTTTCCAAAGTTTCTGATCCCTTGGAACGGAAGACAAACTACGTTCAATATCTCAGCAACCCCGCTCCCCCCCCCCTCCGCCCTCGGAGGGAATGTCCTATGAGGACACGACTGAGACCCCTTACACCTTACAATTGTTTCAACAGAAAAAAAAATAGCAGCTTGGATATCGGGAACAGTTTGCAGGCAGTAGTATATCAAAACGCTAGACAAATGAGCGAACAACTGTTGTAGGATTTCAGTTACTATATTGACGGAGTTAGTCACTCGAACGTTGACATATGTGGCCAGTGAAGGATTCGATGCAGCTAACCTCTGTATTACACATTCGCGTCCATTGTAGCCAGATAAAGTTCCTGTTCCCGTGGACCAATTTTCTTTCACTTTTTCCTGTGATACATTTGTAGTATTTATTGATTTGAACTGATTATTCTTCAGAATTCACCTTCACGCACAATCCTTCAGCTCATCGATTCAATCATACACCCGGAAGCACTATACTCAAGTTTCGCTCTTATTAGAGCTCATCAGTATAGTATATCCACCGTCCCGTACGGGATTTGGACTCCGGCCCCATCACGTGGAAGGCATGTGCGTTATCACTGTGCCAAAATTTGTAGTACACCGATCGCACGTGTAGATGTTTGACTCAGCAAGTTTACTGAGCGTCATTCAGCGTGATTGCACACTGTAGGAGGGTCGCAAAGTCAACTTGATCACAATCGCGTCACACCTCGTTGAATTAGGTCACACAGTGAACTTGACCGGGAGCTTTTGTTCAAGTACAACAATCGCTTCCGGACCAGAGCGGAAAGAGTGCGAATTCGCATTCACATCTCCGCTTCTCGGTCCATGTGCACAAAAATAACTTGGGAAATTAGTGTCTCCCTCCCTCCATCCACCCACCCCTTCTATTTTTACTCATTCGACCCAATTTTCGTCACCCTGTGACCAGGATTACTAAACCGGAAACA